GAGCAGCAGCATCTTAATTTTCTCTTCATCCTCCAGTCTGTCCATTTATGAGGTCACAGTGAGTCCCCTCTCAAGGACACTTGTTCACTTAGGGCTTAAACTTGATGAAAGGAGCAGGGAGAAGTTGTATATGAGTCATTAGAGTGATGTTCTTTCCCCTTATACTCTGGGTGTACCCGACCCAGCAACCTAGAACTGGTTTCTGTCCAGCTGAGAAAAACCAGTGATGGAAAAATTTACCTGTAATGATTCATCTCCGTTTTTCCTATTAAAATTGGTAACAGAGTTCCTTCTTTGTGGATTAGGGACGATTTGGTAATTGCTGAGCATCCTCCCCTCTTTTTTCCAGTTTGTATTTCTTATCTGGGAAGATTTTACCAGGACCTCAAAGACAGAGATGTCACATTCTCACCAGGCACTATTGAAAAAGAACTTATAAAGTTCTGCCGTGAAGCAAGAGGCAAAGAGAATCGGTTGGTGAGTAGCTGCCCCTCCCCAGCTAGCCCTGGCTCATGTTTCACCCTCCACTTCACTGGCTTCTTGATAAGAGACCTTGCCCACCTCTCTATTCAGGAAGCCAGCTGCTCTTTCCATAAATTAATGTGGGATCAAATTGCTTTCATGTCCTTCCTCAAGTAGGCATGTATTTTGCAGTTGTGATATTTTTTATCCTGTTAGTATTTATTAAACACCTGCTGTGTGCTAGGCACTAGGGATACCTGGAGAGAGAAATGACAGTCAGGCAAACAAACAACACAATGGATGAGTGTCATGAAGAAAATAGACCAGGCTCATTGGTGTAGCGGCAGGATGCTGACTTGTAGTGAGTGGTCAAGAAGAATCTCTTTGAGGAAAGGTCATCATCGAAGTGGGGGTAAGAGTATCCCAGGCAGAGGGGACAGCCAGTGTGAGTGCCCAGAGGCCAGAAAGAGTTTGGCATATGTGAGGACAAGAGGTGACAAGGTGCCCACAGGGTAGACCAGAACCGAATTGGCGACAAGTGCCCTATTGAAGCAATGGCTTTTCTAGCTTTAATTTCCCTGGCAGTCTCTGGTATGTCTATTAAAGGTTTGAACCTTGGTGACTCTTAAACTCATTTGGTGGCTGTTGGCTCTGGGACTGAGAATGTGTTAAGAGCCCCGGGTTGACACCGAATCTTACTGCTGATACAGGCAGGGAACCAGAAAAATGAGACCCTGGCAGATAACGTGTTTTGGGATGTTGATATGTTTTGGAGGAGATGGCTCTCAGGTGGCACCCCCTAAAGGCCATCGTCCTTTCTTCCTGTAGTGCTACTACATCGGGGCCACAGACGATGCAGCCACCAAGATCATCAATGAAGTGTCGAAGCCCCTGGCCCACCACATCCCTGTGGAGAAGATCTGTGAGAAGCTCAAGAAGAAGGACAGCCAAATCTGTGAACTAAAGTATGGTGAGTGTGGCCAGGCCTTATTTAATAAACACTGTGCACTTTTTATGGCCTCAGCATGTACCTTCTGAATTTACTTTCCAGCTGGGAGAGGAAGGTGATAAACTAGAGCCATGAGCGGGTTATATCATGCGATTTCTGGTGCTAAATGCTGGGGGGATCTGGCATAGAAGGGGGTAGAGGTCAGAATAGGCCTCACTGAGGAGGTGACATTTCAGCAAACTTTAAAAGAAGTAAGGATTGGCCAAGAGGCCAGCTAATGGAAAAACATTCCAGGCAGAGGATACAGGCAGTGTAAAAGCAGCCAGTGGTATGACTGGCAGGTGGGCAGGTCACATGGCGCCTTGCAGGTTGGTTAGTACTTTGGCTTTTAGTCTAAGTGAAGCTGGGAGCATTACAAGTTTTTGAGCAGAGAAGGGACATGATCTGACTTGGGTTTAATAGGCTTGTCCTGGCTGCAAGCTCTGAAAGGCCAGTGATGTTTATTATTCTGAAAAGAAATACTGTGTCCAAGAAGGGAAGCCCAAGCACAACACTTGCTGAGTTGGTCTCTGGTTGCACATAGTACCAATCTTCAGAAAGAGTTAGGGTCTCTTCTGCAAAATTTATACAGCATCCTTATTTTGACACGAATGTCCAAGGGTCTCTGTTCACCCACTTGTATCAAGAATGCCTGGTCTTCTGAGAGTGATCCTGGTACAGGGGTTTCAGGTCACTCTGTGGTCACAAGTGATCACAGAAAGTAAGCTCCTAAGTCAGGGGCCTGACCAGGGCCTGTATTGGGAAGTGGGGACTATAAGATCTATATGCTGTGTCACCAGCCTAGAGCTGTCATTCTGCGGTGACTCTGTAAGAGGCACCTGGGAGATAGAAGCTACCTTTCTCCTATAAAGACAATGTAGCCTCTGTCCTTGTCCATACTGCATGTCTGTAGTGTGTACTGACAGCACGAGGCCAGCCTTCCTGAGGAAGGGGCCAGTTCCCCCTCATAGGGGCAGTGAGTACTGACACACCTGTCTGGAAATCTCTCCTCCTATATCATCTAGGGCTGGTTTGGCCATGTAAGGGGGCACCCATCCTGGGACTATTAGGGGGCTGAGGCTGCTCCCACCCAGCCAGTTACTCCCCCTGTTCTCTCCTTCAGATAAGCAGATCGACCTGAGCACGGTGGACTTGAAGAAGCTCCGAGTTAAAGAGCTAAAGAAGATCCTGGACGACTGGGGGGAGTCGTGTAAAGGCTGTGCAGAAAAGTCTGACTACATCCGGAAGATCAATGAACTGATGCCTAAATACGCCCCCAATGCAGCCAGTGCACGGACTGATTTGTAGTCTGCTCAATCCCTGCTGCACCTGAAGGGAAAAAGCAGTTCAGCTCTCTCTGCCCACAACAGCCTTTTTGTAATTTATTTTTTAAGCGGGCTCCTGACAATACTGTATCAGATGTGAAGCCTGGAGCTTTCCTGATGATGTTGGTTCTACGGTGTTCCCATGAGGGAATTCACTTCCTTCTGTTGCTGGTTTACTCTAGGACTTCACAGTGTATCTGGGATTTTTTTATTAAAGGAAAAAAATTTATAGCTGTCCTTGGAAATTAAAGTGAATACTGAAAAAGGGTTTTGCCCCATAATGAGGATCCTATCAGTTTATGCTTTCCAGTTTGCAAGGAGTTTGGGAGTACATTGTCATTTGTCCCTCAGCCCACCAGTGTTGAAAATACCAGGACATGGTACACTGGCCTCAACCCTCACTGGGCTGAGGCCCACTGGCACGTGTGGGGGTGTGGGGCTGGAGGGTAGCAGGCACCCCGGCAACATGGAGCCCGGGGAGGAGGCCCAGCTGACGACCTGCCCCTTGGTACTGTGTCTGTCTCACCCACACAAGAGGGTGTGGCGGCCATACAGCTTCTAAGCACAGAGGATTGAGTCTGGGGTACATGGGAGGGCTTCACATTGGGGCTCAGTACAAGCAGAACTGGGGGTATGTGGAGTGTAGTTTTCCACAAAGAAGGCTTCAATAACTGCATCTCGTGTACTGACATTTCTAAAGATGCTCTTGGCCTGGTCACCAGCTTGCTCTTCTGGGCTCACAGTCTCATATCTGTCCCAAGCCTCTGTAGCCTGACTGGCTTTTTCAAGACTAGCAGGAGTCAGCTTATACAAAGAGGCAGTAGGAAGCTGCCTTTTGCCTTCATTTGCCCTAAATGAGTCTGATAGTTGAGGTCCCAAAGGTTTTTCTGGAGTCTTTTTTAGCTGCTATGTCTCTGGTGCTTAGTCACACCCAGTTGTCGGCGTGAGCTGTGGCTCAACGGAGACACCTGCTCCTTAGGCCTGCAGAGACCACCTGAAAGAAAGACTAAGAACCAGTGCTTGCCAAGGAACTGATCTTACCTCAGATCACTTCATTTGTGTCGGTCCTAAGCTCAGTTTGGCTGTAAAGGGCCTTCTTACCCGGCTCCATGGAGCCCACTGCTTTCTTCCAAGACCTTTCCCCCTTGCAACTGCCTGAGCTGCTCCAGGAGCTGCTTTCTGGTTGTGGGAAGAGGGAAGGGATGGGTGCTAGTCCCCATCTCATGGCTTCTGTGCCTGAGGTTGGGTCAGGTTCTGCAATGACTCCAGCAACTGTCCTTGGAAAATGAAGCTTCCTCAATGGGCTCCGGCACCTGAGCGCCTTTGCCCTCACCTCACCTAGGGAGAAGGGGTCCTCCCCCTGAAGGTGAACAGGAAGGCACTGGCCAGTGAGAGGTCAGCGTGGCAAGCTGTGGTAACTGCTGGTACTGTCTTCACCCTTGGCTCCATAGCCCTGTCCTTCCAGCCTGCCTCTGCCCGACGCCCACAGCGGAGGGTGGGACCCAATGGCGCTAAGGAGCCTATTCCGACTCCATAAACTGAAGGTTTGTTATCTCCAGTTTCTGTGTCTGGACTCGGCCAGGTCTCACCTACGTGCAAAGCCATAGTTCTCATGGCCTTTATGGGGACTGCTGCAGATGAGCCTGAAGGAAGATGATGCCCGGGATGTGGGCCGCAGGTCTCTGACAGAGCCTAGAAATCAGCATGAGTTAGTCCTTGGGGCTGTCAACCCCGGACCTCAGTCAGGAGATGAATCCCTGTCAGGAGATGCCGCGGCGGCGGGGAATCAATCACTCCTGCCTACCCTGGGATTGGATACCACGTAAAGAGGCCTCTGGGCACCCCAGACTGCGGTGCCCACGGAAGCTGCCACTCCAATCAGCGCGGGCCCCAGTGCCTGCAGGAGGAGGTAGCTGGACCCAGAGCGGCAAAGCACACCCGGAAGCCCCACGCCTAGGACAAGCTCGGCTCGCTGAGGCGCGCGGCGACGCAAGCTACCCCTACTCTCAGGGGCTCCCAGCGCTCCCCTTAGCCTCGAGCCTCAGCCCGCGCGGTGGCGCCAGAGCGCTCAGGCTAGCGCTCACCCGCATCACGTGGCACAGGGCGGCGCAGCCCGATGACGCACGCTGGGTGCCTCTCGCCCTGGCCGGCACAGTCACGTGGTACGGTCAGCGCAGCCTGCTAACGAAACGCCCAGCCCCTCGGCGCCGCTCCCGCCCCGCCCCGTCGCCACCGCCGCGCCGAGTCCTTTTGTCCAAGATGGCGGCGCCGGGGGCGCTGCCTCCTCAGCTGCCGCCGCCGCCGCTGTGAGGAGCCTGCGGGCCGCCCGCCCGCCGCGCCAAGGCCATGAAGCGGCAGAGCGAGCGAGACTCGAGCCCGAGCGGGCGCGGCTCGTCATCGTCGGCCAAGCGGCCGCGGGAGCGCGAACGAGAGGCGGAGGCGGGCGGGCGGCGGGCAGCGCACAAGGCCTCCGGCGGCGCCAAGCACCCGGTTCCAGCGCGAGCTCGCGACAAACCCCGCGGTAGCGGGGGCGGCGGGGGCGGGCATCGCGATGGCCGGGGCGCTGGGGACGCGAATCACCGTGCGAGCAGCGGCCGCTCCTCGGGCTCTGGCGCTGGCGGTGGGGGACGCGGCGGCAAGGCCTCGGGGGACCCGGGCGCCTCAGGCGCATCTCCCCGCGCGTCTCCACTGCCGCCGCCGCCGCCGCTGCCTGGGGTCGAGCCCGCGGGGCCCGGCTCATCGGCGATCGCGCCCGAGTACAAGACGCTGCTCATCAGCAGCCTGAGCCCCGCGCTGCCCGCCGAACACCTGGAGGACCGGCTCTTCCACCAGTTCAAGCGTTTCGGCGAGATCAGCCTTCGCCTGTCGCACACACCTGAGCTGGGCCGTGTGGCCTACGTGAACTTCCGGCACCCGCAGGACGCGCGCGAGGCCCGCCAGCACGCACTGGCCCGCCAGCTGCTGCTCTACGACCGCCCGCTCAAGGTAGAGCCGGTGTACCTGCGCGGCGGCGGCGGCGGGAGCAGCCGGAGAAGCAGCAGCAGCAGCGCTGCCGCTTCCACGCCGCCCCCGGGACCGCCCGCGCCCGCCGACCCGCTTGGCTACCTGCCGCTGCACGGAGGCTACCAGTACAAGCAGCGCTCGCTGTCCCCGGTAGCTGCCCCGCCCCTGCGGGAGCCCCGTGCCCGCCACGCTGCCGCAGCCTTTGCCCTGGATGCTGCTGCCGCCGCTGCTGTGGGACTGTCGCGGGAGCGGGCCCTGGACTACTACGGGCTGTACGACGACCGCGGGCGCCCCTACGGCTACCCGGCTGTGTGCGAGGAGGACCTCATGCCCGAGGACGACCAGCGGGCCACACGCAATCTCTTCATTGGGAACCTGGACCACAGTGTATCTGAGGTGGAGCTGCGACGGGCCTTTGAGAAGTACGGCATCATTGAGGAGGTGGTCATCAAGAGGCCTGCCCGTGGCCAGGGTGGTGCTTATGCCTTCCTCAAGTTCCAGAACTTGGACATGGCCCATAGGGCTAAGGTGGCCATGTCGGGGCGGGTGATTGGCCGCAACCCCATTAAAATAGGTTATGGCAAGGCCAACCCTACCACACGCCTCTGGGTGGGTGGCCTGGGACCTAACACCTCACTGGCGGCTCTAGCCCGGGAGTTTGACCGCTTTGGGAGCATTCGGACCATTGATCACGTCAAAGGAGATAGCTTTGCCTACATCCAGTATGAGAGTTTGGACGCAGCCCAGGCCGCCTGTGCTAAAATGAGGGGCTTTCCTTTGGGTGGTCCAGACCGCAGGCTCCGTGTGGATTTTGCCAAAGCAGAGGAGACTCGGTATCCCCAGCAGTACCAGCCCTCACCCCTCCCTGTGCATTATGAGCTTCTCACAGATGGATATACCCGTCACCGAAACCTGGATGCCGACCTGGTGCGGGATAGGACCCCCCCACACCTCCTGTACTCAGACCGAGACCGGACCTTTTTGGAAGGGGATTGGACCAGCCCCAGTAAAAGCTCCGACCGCCGGAACAGCCTGGAGGGCTACAGCCGCTCAGTGCGCAGCCGGAGTGGTGAGCGCTGGGGGGGAGATGGGGACCGTGGCATGCCCAAACCCTGGGAAGAGAGGCGAAAGCGGAGGAGCCTTTCCAGTGACCGTGGGAGGACAACCCACTCCCCTTATGAGGAACGGAGCAGGACCAAGGGTGGTGGGCAGCAGTCAGAGCGAGGCTCGGACCGTACCCCTGAGCGCAGCCGCAAGGAGAACCACACCAGTGACAGCACCAAGGAGTCAGGCAGCAACTCCCTCAGCAACAGCAGACATGGGGCTGAGGAGCGGGGCCACCACCACCACCACCACGAGGCTCCAGACTCTTCCCACGGAAAAAAGATGAGAGAGAGCGAGCGCAATCATCGGACCACTGAGGCGGAACCCAAGCCTCTGGAAGAGCCAAAACATGAGACCAAAAAGCTAAAGAATCTTTCAGAGTATGCTCAGACACTACAGCTGGGTTGGAATGGGCTTCTCGTGTTGAAAAACAGCTGCTTCCCAACATCTATGCACATCCTAGAGGGGGACCAGGGGGTTATCACAGGTCTCCTCAAAGACCACACTTCTGGGAGCAAGCTGACCCAGCTGAAGATTGCCCAGCGCCTTCGACTGGACCAACCCAAGCTCGACGAGGTCACACGACGCATCAAGCAGGGGAGCCCCAATGGCTACGCAGTCCTGCTAGCCACCCAGGCGACCCCCAGTGGGCCTGGCACTGAGGGGATGCCCACAGTGGAGCCAGGCCTGCAGAGGCGGCTTCTCAGGAACCTGGTCTCCTACTTGAAACAGAAGCAGGCCGCAGGGGTGATCAGCCTGCCAGTGGGTGGGTCCAAGGGCAGAGACAGCACAGGCATGCTCTATGCCTTCCCACCCTGCGACTTTTCACAGCAGTACCTCCAGTCAGCACTAAGGACATTAGGCAAGCTAGAAGAAGAACATATGGTGATAGTCATAGTCAGAGACACGGCCTAGCCCAAACCTGTCTTTTCCAGCTCCATGTTTGTGTCACAAAAGCAGTTATTTTAAAATCTGATCCACTCTCTACCCTACACCATTGGTTTGAATTCTCTGCTGGGTTCTTTTGGTGAGGATCAAAGGCCTGTCCACCACCAAAAACTAAGTTCTTAGATTTGGGGGGATTTATTTTTTTTACAATGATGAGAAGGGACTCCTGTTATGTTGATTTCTAGTGTACAAGATACTGTCTGCTGTGTTCTGTATTTTTTTAATTTTTTGACTAACTGTATGGAAAGTTGTCAGTAAAGCCTTTGTCAGAGGATGGATTTTTAATCCTGTTCAGAGTCCTGGTTTAATCAAGGTACGAATGGAAGACTTTTCCCTAGTGCATGTACACAAATGCCCTACATCATCTTTCCAGCATGTCCAAAAGTCCTGCTGCATCAGTGACTCTCAGCCTGACCTTTCTGCTCTTCAGGCTGTTGGGACTATGCTCACAATTGTTTTTAATCTTCGCTGATGGCCAGCAGACTTCTATTTGGGCTCTGAACCCTGCTGTACCAGCCTGGAATAGAGCCCATGCAAAGTTAGAGGGTGAGCCTAAGTTCTGTGGCCAACAGCTAGTGGTAGTTTTTCTACCCTAAACAATGTGTGTCCATCAGTTTCAGCTGTGTTTGTTGGACAACGTGCCTAACCTCAAAGCTGGTGTGACAGCAGGTAGTCTTCAGCAGGTGTGTAGTCTTGTACCTAGAGGAGGAACAGTGCAATATTGATGCCAAGGGGTCTTGGTGCTGCCAGTCCATCCAGGCGCCCTGTCTTGTTCAGACTGCCAGGAGGCCAAATAATGGAATGGAGGGTTAGAGGCAGCCTGCCTTGGCTTATTCTTGAACTTTACCCAGATATTTGTGAGCTATAGCTCTTTTGGTTGTTCAGGGCTGATGTGTAACAGAGCAGGCCTGTGCGCATTCATACCTAGAGTTTCGTGGGGGACACTGAATCCCTGAACTACTTTTACAAAGTGCAGTGGGCTAACAGGAGACGGCCCTGACAGTCGTTTCCCAGGTGCAAGGTCAGAGCAGATGCCTAGACCTCTTGCCCTGATATTGAGGAGGTGGTGACCACTGGGAAGTGAGTCTTTCTCTTGGGGGAAAGGTGTTGGGCAGTGCTAGAGCTTGAAGCCACTCAAGCCACGCTGGGGAGGAAAAGGATGTGGAGGCATCCTCTACCGGGGAGGGAAAGGTGGCCTGAAGTCTTAAAATTCTGCCCTCCCAGAACACAGTTGTCACTGTAGAACACAGTACAAATACCATTCTTCAGACTGTTTTGTGTGGCAGCTTAGACGTTCCAAAAGGGATCATTGTCAGGGCTGAGGAGAATGGAATCTCTGCTAAGAAATGAGCTCCCGAATGACCAGGAACTCGAGGTGCTGCTGGCCATGCCATCTTCTCTCCAGGTCCAGTCCACTACCCCAACTAGCACAGAGCAGCATGGGTGAGCGCTGCGGTGCGAGAGAGAGGTTTTGTGGAGGCCAGGGTTCAGTGCACACTGCATGGAGAACACCTGCCAGCCCATAAGGACAATGAAAGAGCTGTCAGAGACCTCAAGAGATTTAGAACAAACGGGAAGGTGCCTGGGGAAGCTCACTGGGCTTCAGTTGGTGCTCATGAGAGAACAAGCACATTCATAACAAAACATGAATGCAAGGAAGTGTTAAACATGTTTATTTGCCTGTTTTTACTTGAGCTGTGGCTGCAGCTGCAGGTAACTAAGCAAGTCAGTCTGGGGCACAGCAGGACACATCTGTACTATTCCAGGGTAGCTGGTACGGCCAGAAATAGGAGTGGGCCTTGTCTTGTTGAAGGCACTTAGGTGGAGAAGACACTTCAGCCTTTGCCCTGTCCACCCCACTTCAGGGAAGGGTGCCCTCTGGCCTCCAAAAGAACTGCCAACTTTTGGTGAAGAGCCACACCCAATGTGTGACCTTCCTTCTCTTCCCTGGACTTCAACCACTTCCTTCCCACTTCCTTCCTTCCTCTTAAGACATAGCAGGTTTTATGACCTCTCAGAAAGGCCTTGGCCAGCACTAGTGAGGGTAGGCCAGGTAGCAAGGCCCTGATTGCTTTATGACACTGACCAGTGTGAGAACTTAACTGTAGGTGTCCAGTGCCTCTACCTGGGGTTCAGGTCCTCAGATGTTACTTAAAGGCAAAAAGCACAAGGCGGCAAAATTTGCCTCATGGGTGGTGTGCTACTATTCCACATTTTCCTACTGACTCAGATTTTGAGTCCTGGTAGAATAAAGGAAGAGGGTTAATGTTTCCTTAGCCTCTTAGGGCACTTTCCTAAGGGTATGTTGTCAAGTCAACCACAATTCTGCTTTTCTATTAAAGGTCCCCATCTCCACCTTAGGGACCCGTGGGTACTCCCAAGAGCTCCTGGCAGGGAGACTGGCTCGGTGGAGTTAATGACTAGAATATAGTGCTTTTACTGCTTCTTGATTTTTAACCTGTTTTCTTCTAATGCATTCAGTCCCAGCCATCTAATGGTAGTATTACCATTTAAGCAGAGGCAGGAAGCAAATTAAGAGCTTAGACCTCTGCTGTCTAGAGGACCAAGAGGCACCTATGTGACATAGGTCCCCTTCAGTACCTGTGGCACATTGTATGGCACTCCTAAGCCCACCTGCCCCTGGAGAGTTGCAGCCATCTTGTATTGCTTGTTTATTTCACAACAATCAAACTTGTTCCTTCTCTGAGTAAAAGGAGAAAAGCCACTTTAGATGGATAATACCTATGTAACAAACCAAGAAGCTATTATTTGGGCAAAATCAAAGGAATAAAGACACTAGGGACTTACATTTACTGTGAGAAGGAAAAGGGGGTGGGTGGGGAAAACGAAAAGAAAAGGTAGGAGCCCCTGGCACTTTCCCTGGTTACACAGTTTAACTATTGGCCAATTTTAGAGGCCTCTGAAGTATCTTTCTGCAGACCAAGTCCTACTGTCCCTAAACTGCCAGGACTGGAAAACTCAAGTCCACCATCACAGTCCCTTTCGGGACAGAGTAATGGCCATCACCCCAACTACAAGGATGGCCAAAATGTTCTTCCTCCTTCACTTTGGCAGCTCATTCCTCTAAAACTTCCCAGGACCCCTCCCGTTCCAGCTCTGCCAACTCTGTACTTGGGAGCTTCATCTTTAGAACGTAAGACAGATGTGTCCACAGTGGACAATGCCCTGAGCTCTCCTCTCTGCGCTGTCTCCCCACAACTCCCTTATTACCCTTAGAAAGACAGGTCCTCTACCCAAGAGAGAGCTGTGGGCCACGCTTAGATACTGTTTTCTCCCTGGAGTGTTTTATTTAGGCAGAATCTTTTCACCACCATCCTGGTCTGCCTCTCTTGGAAGATGTCTTCTTTGTGGCCTGACTAGAGCTGCAAGAAAGGGACACACCCCACTGTGGTAAAAGAGAACAGGGAACGGCCATAAACAAAGACAGACCTGTAATTTATTTTGTATTTTTTTTAAATAAATACACTTTACATTAAAGAAAAAGGCCTTTGATTTGTAATTTCCACATTTGGGAGAAAAGGAAGAAAGAAAGATTTTTGAAAAACTGAATCACAAAGAAAAATAGAGGGAGTGAACTTATATCCTAAGTTCTCTCAACTCTAAAAAACCAATATCCACAATGACCAAGCTGCCCCCAACCATGAAAGTGGGTGAATTTAGGCATTTACTCAGCAAACAAGCAGAGCCTTCTTTCCCACCTCTGGCACAAAGGAAAACAAATTAACCTGACAGCATATGAGGCAACAAAACAGGTTAAAAAATCATATATTATATTTATAATAAAATATTCTTAATCCTTATCAATTTAAGAAACCACGATTTTCCATTTCATTTAAATATGTATGTAAAAATGCCTCTATATTGTTCTTTAAACATCATTTTCTTCCAAAGAAAATGAAGCACAGGGACAAGAGACCTGGTGGATATAAGTTCATACCCTCAGTTATAAATGCCTGTTTTTTTTTTCTTTTTAAAGTTTTATAAAAAACTATTTCTTGTTCTTTAAGTAAAGAACGTTATACAAAGAAAATATATTGTGAAATAACCCCAGAGACATGTTTGTTTGTTTTTTTTTTCCCTTGAAGAAAGATATGTCCATCCTAGGAGAAGAGGGGAAAGCAGAATAGGGCCTAATCCCTGTTGTCTTTTTGTGGTTGTTATTGTTTTTAGAAGGACCCTCAGATTCCAATGAGATTCTCTAAGCCACAATCCTCTGAATGCAGGGCATGCAGTTCCTTAAAAGACAGACAGCCCTGGGAAAAAGGGAAGGGAAAGTGTTCTGAATTCATCTGACTCAGTTTCTCGCCTGCCAAGAATCTCTTCCAAGTGGTGATGGCTCCTCACTCATTCAGAGATAAGATGATGTCATCTTCCAAATCAGAGTTGTCAGAGCTGTCAGCTGAAAGGGAAGAAAAAGGAGAGACTAGATTATGCGCTAAGCTTACAGGAAGCTTTCAGGAGGGAAGCACTTGTGCAAGATTAACTACCAGTTTCCAGAAAGAAGAAAACACATCAATTAACTCCCTGGAGCTGGCTCTGGAGAATATAGCTGTTGCTGGCAACAGTGGTCGCCCCTGGGACTTCATGCTTTTTCTACCTTTCAAAGGGCCTAGCCATGGTGCCCTCTGCTTCCTGCCTAGGAGCCCCTAAGGGATCAAGCTAGCACCCTCTGAAGCTTCCACCCATGGTACCATGAATGGCTACAAGGGGGTAGGGCTTAGGGAAGCAGTGAGTGAGCACCCATGATTCTTGGCCTCACGCCCTTCAAGGACAGACACAGGCCTGCCTGACCTCAAGGGACCACTAAAAAGGCAGATTAAGTCCAAGCAAAACTGAGAGATTTATCTGTTCTTAAACTCCTTAGCCACTCTCTTCTCCAATCCTCAGAAGACTGCACAAAGGCAGAGACTGCCAACCTAGCTTTGTTCCTCTGTGATTTCTGAATATAATCTATAGGGAACAAATTCCCAAAAATGTATAGGCCAATTTGCAGCAATACCAGAGAAGGAGCTTCCTATCTAGAAATGCAGCAGGAGGCCAGCAGGGAGCAGCTGTGATGCCTTAGAAGGTGGCACTGTCTCTGATGAGGAGCCTCTGCTGGACCATCTGCCTTCTCTGGCAGGGCACAGACACATTAACACTTCTGGAAGGATCCATTAAGGGGCATGACTGGGTGGTAGCAAAAATGACCCTCAAAATGAGGTAGATAAACCATGTCTGGCTAATCAAAATCCTAATAAGGACTCTAACATTTGCTGAGTGAAGGAAG